CCCGAGGAAGACCACCAACGAGATGGGCAGACGTGTTCGTGGAACGGATGGACCAGCTGAGAAATCAGCTGGATACGATTTTTGCACCTGGAACTCGTGGACGCAGCCACCGACGTCAGCCAAGAAGATCGTGGATGTCAGAAGCGAGGGACAGGGAGAAATGGAAACTTCTGAGCTGGGGCCCGCACGTCACGTGAAGCCGGGCCATCTAAGTATCTAAGTAAGTAAGTATATGGTGACAAACGTGCTACGTCATGTTCGGTCGTGTTTTACTAGTAAGGAAGTCAAATAAAATTTCAGGCTCTCATTACAGCAGTTTTGCCAGAAAATTGTTTTTCTAGGTCACTTATGCCAAAGGCATAAGTGACCTAGAAAAACAGTCTAGTCTATATACTTTTCTTCTTCTTTCTCTGTCTTGCTTTTGAAGTTCTCATACACTGATACTTGCGCATAATGGATGCCAGGTTACTGCCAAACAAGATTAGATATTCACTATTTCGTCTGATCCCCTGGGCATCCCCAGGGGATCACCTCACATTTTCAAAGTCATTTATCTTACTAAGGCCCGTATGCACGTACATCCCCGCGGGGAAGGGAGGGGATCTGAGAGGGGAAGCGTCATATCTCGCTAGTCTATATACTTTTCTTCTTCTTTCTCTGTCTTGCTTTTGAAGGTTCTCATACACTGATACTTGCGCATAATGGATGCCAGGTTACTGCCAAACAAGATTAGATATTCACTATTTCGTCTGATCCCCTGGGCATCCCCAGGGGATCACCTCACATTTTCAAAGTCATTTATCTTCCTTAAAACTCAATGAAAATGCTCTAAAATTGTACTAAGGATATACTTTAGCACTGCAAAACATGCTTATGGTAGGAATGAGTGAAATCTCGAGATATCAAAATCTTCGATGAACCGCTGCTCGCGAGCCAGGGATTATCGAAAAAATCAAAATCTTCAGATTCCATTTCTTCTGTCGAAAACATGCTCAGCACTATCGTAGTATATCTTTAGTACAACTTTGCAGCGTTTTCATTGATTTTTCAGGAAGATAAATGACTTTGAAAATGTGAGGTGATCCTCCTGGGGATCCCCAGGGGATCAGAAGGACTAGTGAATATCTGATCTTGTATGGCAGTAACCTGGCATCAATTATGCGCAGGTATCAGTGTATGAGAAGCTTCATAAACAAGATAGAGAAAGGAGGAGAAAGATATGTAGACTAGTGAGATATGACGCTTCCCCTCTCAGATCCCCTCCCCTCCCCGCGGGGATGTACGTGCATACGGGCCTAAGTGTCTGCAGGCAATTTAGAGTGCTTTCAAACTCACATTCAATGAGCAAAATAGTTCGCCCTGCATAGTATTCGAACCACCGACCTTTCATCTTCAATGTCAGCAACTACCCACTACATTACTGCACCACCAATGCACATAGCAGCGCCCTCAAACTCAAGGGGCGCCCCCAGAATAGAATGTTCAGGCTTCCATAATCTCTTCAGAAGACCGTTTCGCAGAAACGGAAAGCAGATTTGAAATCAGCGTTCGAAGCTGCTTCAGATGATATGCATCTCATATCAAAAGGCCACGGCCATTGATAGTACTTCCCTTGTAAGATATATGCACTACGCGCGCAGTATTCGCGTGCTCCAATATGCTAGTTCGCCGCGTAGCCGCTGCGCTTTGGCAGTTCCGGCGTTCAGGCGGGTTCGTGCTGATTCGGACGTATTTGGGCGGAATTGGGCGGGTTTGGACGTATTCGGGCGGGTTTGGACGGATCCCGGCGCGGTCTGAACGATCCCTACGATTCATATCCGAGGATGAGAAACGTACGAACATACACCCCAGAAGACCTCAAAGTTCAGTAGTTTACAATGTTAAATTTTCAGGGAAATTGTCTAGCCAGTAGCCACGATTGTCTCATACTCATAAAATCAGAACTAGAAGCAAATGTGCTTATTATTAGCTCTGCATTAAGACTACGTACTAAAAGTGCACGGCACTCTCTTACCCGCTGGCGTTCTGGCAAGAAATTCATTCAGATCTGCTTATGCTGTTCAACGAATCGAAAGATTACGAGGATGGTCCCTTGGCATGCACCAATTGATATAGATTTGAGAGTTTCAAGACACCATTCGATTCAAATGGTAATGCATATGATCTTCCTTGTAATGAGAGTGTACTCAACATCATAACAATTACGCGCCCCTAGATAGAACTTTGGAGCACTTTGTAAGTGTGAACTCATTGCGACTATAATTCACACTTTCGAAAGCTCATGACTTCCGTCAAATAGTCGCAGTAAACAAGAAGTATAGATTTGCAATCAGCGTTTAGAGCAAGCTGCTTCAGATGTTACAGCTCTCGACAACTCGTTGTGCGACTCTTTGCTTGCTGGACTAGTGCTATCTACGGCCCAGGATTTTGCAAGAGGTTAAGGGGGGAGGGGGAGGGGGGGGGGGGGGCGGGAAATTTACCTGAGTTTGTCAGAATCATAGCGAGCTTAGCAAAATGAATTCCTCAAACCCAAAGCCAGATTTGCATTAGAAAACTGTTGAATCTACGTAGAAGCACTTGCTGTTACAGTTCCATAAGTTGATCCACTTTCCAAAATTCCGTAGATTAGTTTCGAGAAAAGAAAAGCTCTCTCTCTGATTCCCTCCCACCTAAATTCCACCCTTGCTATCTATGACGCATCTACCTTTGCCTTGCATATTAACACCTTTACTGATAGACTACCGTGAACTGATGACTCAGGGAATGTTGTTTCCGCATGATGTCGTTCATTACATCTCAGTGAATCTCGAAAAATTCTAGACACCTAGGAGAGACAGAAAATCAAAATTGACTTATTTCTCAAGAAAAAAAGAATTCTAGGCATATGTGAAGCATCTTCCTCAAAGAATGAACTGGCAGTGGCTGTGGATTTCTAGGTTTAGTCTATAGAGATGTTCTTTACCACTCCTTTTTCATCTCTTTTTCTCAATGATTTCAATGTGCCTATCTGCTCTATTCACGAGCACCGAACAGACGTTGGTGTTTTTTCTTTCAAATTTTATTCGAACGTTGATTCAGCGTGAGACCACTAGCGTACCTTTTTTTGACCCTGGACTGTGTTCTGAGCAAGTTACTTTCAGACTGATTACATTCGCAATCTCATACAAAACGAAACTTTTCTTTTAGTCAGATACTAGGCTGTTGCATAAGTTCTGTCCGATTTTTTTGCCTCATGTTTGAAGCAGCTGTTCTAAGAGAATTTCATCTCTAATTCGATACGGTTGGTATCATTGAAAAGTGCTTTCCTTGCGCTTTCTAAAGCATACCAGAATTCAATAAAACTCTTAGTGTACGGAGATCACAGGCCTAAAATCTCTAAGTGGCCGAGGTACGTTCTATCCCTAAAATATGTCCTTGCGAGGATATCTCCACAATGCGCCCTTCAAGTCAGGTTCTTTCATTGGCTTCGGAATAAGGGTTTGGAATGCTAGTATATGCAGAAGTTCGGTCCCATGAAGAATACGTCTTGCTAGTGAAATTTATCCTCGAACATAAATCTTTGGTATAGATGTTTTACAAGCAATAACTTTCTGCGAATAGAAGTAATCGACAAGCTCAAAGTTGGAGGTGCTAGGGCAAAGCAAGAGCTAACAGGGCCCATCCACCAATTCCTTTTCGGCGCTCACGTCAGTTGTAAAACGTTCGTAGTTCATAAATAGGCATGCACACATGTGCTGAAGCGAGGTCAAAAAGTGGCTAATTTTTTGTTTGGTCAAGAAAATCTCTCGGCAGCGCAAACCCTATGGGCTCTTTTATGTTGCATAATAATCTACGAAAATTTCTCTATCCATCCATTATTAGAAAAGATGCCTATCAATTTTCATAAGGGAGCGTTACCATGTCAAAAAAGACAGATTCGAAGAAAAACGCTGCGAAGTTTTTGCATTCTTGGTTCTTCCTTAACAAAGATTTGCGCAGATCTCAATATGCATTTTTTAGCCAAGGGACTGCTCAACACATAGAAACTAAGACCTTGGAAAAAAGTTGACTCTGAAAGAAGTTATGACATTTTAAACTCAAAAATTCAAATCGGACAGAACTTATGCAACAGCCTAGTATGTTCGAAGCACTTTCATAAACATGTTGATACCGATCGCTGGAACAACATTGAATAACGCGGATACTATGATTGCATTTTATTTCATGAGTGATACCTTCTCTGCGATTGCTTCCAATTGAATGTTTCTTATTTGCCAACTAAGAAGCAGAAAAACCTTTTTTTTTTTCAAGCATGCACGTGGTCTACGAACTAGCAAGAAGCGCATGAGGAATGAGACCAAAGCATTCTACATATGAAGATTCCGACTGCACCAATTGTAATAAAAGTTGCTTGACTTCAAAATCTGGGTGTATCCTCAAGCTAAATCTCTCTTTTGCTTCTTTGGCTGTTCTTTTTAATCATCTAATCAATTACGTTCCTCATGCATCAGCACGAATCCTCGTTATAGGCCTTTCTTGACTATCAATAACGTTTGTACATTACATTTTGTAATTATATCAAATTGAACACCAAATTTTCTGTGAGTCAGTCCATAACTAGGTTCTTATGATCATGTTTCAACAGAGCGGTAAACCTTAGAGTCACCATCCCCTTCCATAATTCTCAGCTCAAATTGCCTTTCCCAAACGTACAATCTCCCTGTTCGCGCTTACTCAAATGCGATCTTCTACGTAAATGAAAATGTATGGCTTTCGGGGTGTGCGTCGAAAAGCGCACGTCTCGGCAGTAGTCATCGCCAATTTGGATCGTACTCCACAAAAGCAAGATTTTTGACTTCAAAATTTTTGTCAAAATATCAGCATAAGCGGCGGAGGATTGCATATGTAGTTGAAATCCAAACGAAATAATTTTGAGCTTCTTTTCTGCTCCTCTTACTTAAAACAGCAGATCAACACGCGCCTTTCAACAGTATTTCCCGGCATCCGTACAGTTTACTCACTTCTGTCAGCAGCTCTCAAGGGGAATGGACTTCCATGAATAGCCATTCGATTGTAGAAGACGTTCAATGTATGCAGGCCGGGGTGTTTGGGTGTGTACTCACAGTCGAAGACACCTCTATTGGATCCTTCTAAACTTGAACGAGAGCTGAGTCACTAGGCCTTATTCTAACTGGTTAAAAGCAACTCGCCTATGACAGCTAACTGATGTTCTCCTCCAAGAGCATCAACTACCACTACTTCAACTGATCCTCTGATCGCTCCTTCTACGCGCAGAGGCACAGGATCACCAACCCGCACTCGTTCTGGATACGAACACAAGCGAACGATAGGCAGGGCCTGAAAGCGTGTAATGTATAAGACAAAGAGAACTGAATAAAGCAGAATGACGTCACGGTAGCGTCACCTACTTCAATGGTCCGAGTAACTCCTTCTACGGGTGTGACAGTTCCTAATGCTAAATCTCTGAGGGCTAGAGAGATCTGAAACAAACTCCGTTTGATTTGCTTTTATCTTCGACTTCTGTTTTTTCATTTGTTCTTCGTTTTTCACTAACTTTATAACCAGCAATCTAACCACGAACTTTTTACGCGACTCACATGATAGATTCCGTCACGTAATGGAGTATAGGTGATGATAAACTTGTGCGGATCTTCTTCAGCGACCGTATAATGCACTTCACGCCCATCCGGATCAATGATTTTCATCTAAGCATGAAAGTACTTTCCAACAGCTCTCATTCATTGGTTATCACTCTAACCTTCTTACCTTTGGCTTGTAGCCGTCTCCAACTATATTGACTACAAATTCAGTCGGCATATTGACCACAGGGAAAGCATTCAAATCCATCAAACTTCCAGAAGCTATTGGTTCTTCAGGAAGCACTTTCTTTACTTCATCCAACCTTAAACTTTCAGAATATCTTAGCATACATGCGCTCCTATAGATAAGTAACCCACTTGGCAGCTGGGAATTGTGACAGATACGTCATTACCGACATTTCATCAATCTCCGGATGAATCAGCTCACCAGGCGTGATCAGCTGAAAAAATATAGCTCAAGGGGTAGCTAAGGACATCTCCATTTTACAAAAAAGTCTGGAGATTATGTGCTCTATGTTTTTTAGCGCTACTCAGAGATTAGATAGAATTTCATGCAACACAATCGCCTCGTTCCACTCTTATATTCTGCTCACTTATTTTCATGTGAGCATCTGGAACTCTCTGCCATACGTTCAACTCCAGGAATGTTCGATATCGACGGATACCCTTTACTACGTATAAGAGGTCGGAATCTAGTGGAACTCATATTTATGCTTGCTTGCCTACTAGATGTTCCGATGACAGTACTTGCACTAACAATAATTGTCAAAAGCACTCCACCACAAATGAAAGCTTACAAATGGATTATCATAAATCTAACGGTAATGACTATGTTCACAACTGCCAAGAAAAGAACTTTAGTAAAATTCTAATCAGCTTTGAATTCAGGGCACAACATTTGTCACAGATTTCACAATATGTTTCCTATACGACCCTATTCCGCTATTTCCAGACATCGCCTGCTACTCGAAAGCATATTTACCTAACGTTAGTGAAAACGCAAACTACATTATGTTGGTTAGTGAAGCGCTCTGAGGCAACTCCGCTTAAGTTTAATGATAAAAATTCTGATGTTTCAGTGTATATGTTTGATACTACTACAATGCACATTGTGCAGTACATTGGTCGCATTCATATACCGACTGCAAGCACTGGGGCAGTTTGGGCCCTTTCAAGGCCTCTCCGACATTAGCTCAAAATGGATTATTCCTACAACATACGCACTCGGTCTATTACCAATCGTCGCAATTCTGATAATTTCGTTCAGACCACATAGTCAGATGCGCGAAATGGTCAAAGTAAGTTCAAAGAGTACCATAAAGAGTACCAATAAACTATCTCTCTGAGTTACTACTACGTTGAGATGCTACTTTTGATATGATGATACGCCACTTACAAAAGCTATTTTTATGGCGTGAAAGATCTTTGAATCAACTTTCTGCTTCAGAATACAGGACGGCTCAGATTTCTGGAAGGCTATAACTCCTACCTCATCGCTGAAACAAACGACGTGACATTCACAGTTTTTGAAGCTGTGTGGCTTGCGAGCGCTTTTATAATAGTCCTTTTATGCATGATTGTGGCAGCTATTATAATCCTAAGTCTTCACCACAAAAGGAAATCTATGAGCGCAAAAAATCTGGAGATGCACCGCACTCTGACAATCCATTTGATTTTACAGGTGGGAAAGGACAGACAGAAACTTCAGATAAACAATTACAAAGATGTTCAAGTCTAGTTTTAAGATTACTATCCCAGTTATTACGACACTTATCCCTCTAGTCGTGATTTTCTCCTCTCGTTATATTGATGTTCCATTCGGAGCTGAATGTCAGTTTTCACTCGTCTCATTCAGCACAGTGATCTACAACTTCTTGCTAGTTTCAGTTTGGAACCTTATAATATCGCAAACGGTTTCTCTTCACAGCCTGCTCAATACTATCGTATTATTGCTCATCACACGGCATTACCGACGTGCGGTAGTTCGATCTTGTGGAAAGTGCTTCGATTGGATGTACAAGACAAGGCCGAACTCTATCAGAGTCGAGAGCACAGTCGTTACATTCAAGTAGTTAAACGAAATTCGGTAAAGAAAGATTCGAATAAATTATGAATAAGCCGTAGTATCGCGCAAAACGCCACCGTAGTCTACTGCTTCTTCCACGCCGATTTTGCGCGAATGATGCAACTGACTATGGTTGGTATTTCAGGCTAGAGAAGAAGCGCAAAAGCTATATTTCAAAATCAAACACCTTTACAGCACTATGAGAATGGCTGATATTAGCGAAATTGTATGGAATCCAAACTGTTTCGCGAGAGAGTATATACAAAAACCATGAAACATGTAAGTTGATAAAGCAAGGCAAGCTTTACAAGTAGAGCTAGAACCGGCATGCTAGACAAACAATGCTGAGTTGTTCTCACATGGATTTTCCTGAACTAAAGCTTATTGCAAGAATGACGTAAATTCTTAGCCTCTAATGAGAGCAAGTTTTGAATATTAGCGTGCAGCAACAAAAGGGCGATATTTTTGTATTTTTGGTGCATCGTTTCTTGTATTGGGCATAGAAATTATTCAGCTACAGCACATGTGAAAACCTGATGCCGTAATTGTTTAGTATGTGTCTGCAAAATGTGGACCATCCTTTTTAACGCTATCTTGTGTAGCTTATTGCGCAAGCAAATGATATAATTCCTACATTTTTTGATTTACTCTTCAGCGGTAGCATGAAGAATATTCATCAGTATTGCAGCACCCTGTAGATTAAGCAGGCAATGTTCAAATATTAGGTTGTCCGGAAATTAATGTCCGTTTTGGTTTCCAATTGCAATAATTCATACGCTTTTCATTCCTGAATAGCTTTCAAAGTATCATTCGATAGGGCAAAGCAAGCTCTACAAGACGACCATTTTGCTTTTGCAGCAGCTCTCATCCACCTCGAGTTTCGAGCCAAAAACTAATAAAACTCAGCAACCCGAAAAATCGAAAAAAATCGTAACTCAGTTCAAAAAATCCTACAAAAATTCTTGTTTGTTCACGTAAACACTATCAACATAAAACATCAATATACGCCTCTGCCGTATTTTTCCCTCTGTTAGAAACCAAGAAAAAGGAAATTTTCGTGCATTCGCCAAAGTGATGCTGTGCCTTCCCCACATAGGTAGTTGTATACCACAAGCCTGTAAAAGTACAGACTTAGATTTTCGCCCCTCTACAAGCTTTAGTTCTCGAGAAATACCGATTATAGCTTTCCCCAGTTAGGTGATCCAAGCTATAATTTAAATTTCACGAGAACTAAAGCTTGTAGAGAGCTGAAAATTTACGTTTGTACTTCTACAGGTTTGTAGTATACAACTACCTATGTGGGGAGGGAACAGCATTACTTTGGAAATTGCACGAAAATTTCCTTTTTCTTGATTTCTAACAAAGGAGAAAATACGCCAGAGGGGTATATAGATGTTTTATGTGGATAGTGTTTACGTGGGCAAGTAAGAATTTTTGTAGGTTTTTATGAACTGAGTTACGATTTGTTTCGATTTTTCCGGCTCCTGAGTCTTTTTAATTTTTGGCTCGAAACTTGAGGTGGATGAGAGCTGCTGCAAAAGCAAGATGGTCATCTTGTAGAGCTTGCTTTGCTCTATCGAATGATACTTTGAAAGCTATTCAGGGATGAAAAACATATGAATTATTGCAATTGGAAACCAAAACGGACATTAATTTCCGGACAACCTAATAATTTGTTGAACGGTGACGAGGAAAGGTGAAAGAAGTCTCTAAAATCGTTCGTGTATGCAACACAAACTAACCGTCACATCCCCATGATACTGCGATATCAGTTAAATAATGTTTTTGCGACGGTGACAAACTTCACACTTGAGTGGCTTCTATAAAGTCAAAATGCGCGTAATCTTAAAACTTTCAGCTGAATAGATTTTGCTTTCAATAAGTGCGTAACCTTTGAAGGCCCTAAGCAAGTTCTGGGGGAAAAAGAGTATGATTCTACTAGATATTGGATGCTTCGAAAAAAAGGAATTTCCTGTTGTTTTTCTTTTTTGACACTTTTGATGTGCAACGATAGAATGATGTAGCAGCAATACGGTGCAGGATCTCTTCTGCGCGAAACTGAATGCCCAGCGCGATTCCAAACAGGACAATATTTTGCCGTTTGTGGAGTATACGCATGTTTGAACCTGAGAGTATTTTTTTGCTCTACTTCACACTTTAGAGTAGAGCAAAGAAAATCTTAAACAATGTTGTCATGTCAACCGTTACGCACTTATCCAACTTCTCCTCTTCTGCCTTTACCTCAAATGAAGCAAAACTCTGACAGTACTTTTGCTAACTGCATAGAAACAACCGTTTCGACGCTAAGCTATGTGGAGGAGGCAGCCAACACGAACATTAGCTTGTGCCATCTATGCTGCATAGGTCAAATATTCCCCAATCCTATATTTAAGCTATGATCCTGTAACTTTCGAAATAAGCTGAGAGCTCTAAGCTCTAATTCCTACTTTTTGACAACATTTGCAATCCAGCGAAGAACATACTGCTTCAAAAAAGACGACTACATGTGCAGCATTTGACAACTACAAAAGTGCAGTATGCTTACATATTTGCAGCTAATGTTCATCTTGGGACACACCCTTATCTGGAATCCAAAGGAGCAAAATCATCCTTACGATGGAAAAAACCCAGTTTCATACCCTCAGCACTAACCGGATTCTGAGCCAGCACTACACACGGTGCGACAGTGAACTCATGAACCTTCTCAAGCTGTAATATAATCAACTCACTGGTTCCACACCAAGCCTGTCTTGAGCGATCTTCATGGCTTTCTGCGTATTTTCAAGTGCATTCTCTGGAGCCCATTGATCCCAATCCGTGGCCGCTCCCGGCACTAGAGCATTCACCTAGATTAAAAAACACTCTTACATGAACAACTGCGCCTTTACAATGCACGATGATAACATAACATGTCTAGGGTATTTTTCCGCCTCGACCGTTCTTTTTCAAAAACGTCTTACCACTAATGTACTTTTAGGGCCGCATGCACTAACCTCTCCGCTTTTAACCTCCACACCGTGAAATCCAGATATTTGGAGCTTCAGAATATAAAGCTTTCTTTTAAGCTGCAATCCTGGGGAGGGGATTGCAGCTTAAAAGAAAGCTTCATATTCTGAAGCTCCAAATATCTGGATTTCACGTTGTGCACCTATCCGTAAGTATTCCTACTACCCTTCACTATGAACATGTTGAACAGGAGCGAGAAGCTGTACGAACCGCATTTTCCAGCTTTTGTATGATCCCTGATGATCCCCAGCGCTTTTCTTTAAAGTCATTTTTCTTTCTCCGAAGTTAACGAAAAACTTCCAAAGTTGTACTGAACATTTAACACAACAGTGTTAAGCATGTTGCTTATGAGAACAAATGAGTTTTTGAAAAGTCGAATTTTTCGGTAAACCTCAAATTTCGACCTGTGGATCATCGAAAATTTCATGACTCCAAAACATCATTTGTTCTTATCAGCAACATGCTTCGCGCTGTCGGTTAGATAATACGCACAACTTTGGAAGTTTTCCGTTAACTTCGGAGAAAGAAAAATGACTTTAAAGAAAAGCGCCGGGGATCATCAGGGATCATGCAAAAGCTGGAAAATGTGGTTTGTATAGCTTCTCGCTCCTCTTCAACATGTTCATAGTGAAGGGTAGTAGGAATAGTTACGGATAGGTACACAACGTGAAATCAAGGTAACTGGAGTTTCGAAATATATAAAGCTTTCTTCTAAGCTACGATCCCCTCCCCACGGCGATGTTAGTGCATGCGGCCCTTACTTGAACTGTTTTTTTTTCAAGATTTGCTGAGATTGATATTTCTTTATTCTCCAAATGATCGAACGACTTTATCGCCAGTGACGTAAACCTCACTAAAAGATATTATATTTGCTCATTCCGAAAGTAATTTCGCTTTTTTCAAACGGTCGCCACATTTGATGGAGCGAAGGTTTTTAGAAGCTCTGGGTAGCATTCGAGCAGCATTTTATCCTCTTTCTAACAGTATCGAAGCCGTTGCAGCGCAGTCAATGAGCTTTCGGAAAATAACCAAAATCTACGACTCATACTTTTTGAGATGGTCAAGTTTCACAATTTTTTGAAATTTTCATATCAATCCTCAGAAAGAGCTCAAGTAACGATTCGATAGAGCAAACCTTATAGAATACAGTGCAACTTTTTTCTATCTTTCATAGCTTGGCGTAATTTCTCAAAAAAATTTTCAACAAAACCATCGGAATTTGGCAGGCCCACATAGCCACCATCGCATCAACCATCATAGTTATTCAGAATTTGAGACTATCAAATGGTACCATGAATTAGCACCAATTTTACAAATCAATTGATAGTTTACGGGTTCGAAGTATCAAATTTTGAGTTTTTCGCGCACAGTTTGAGGCTCGCTAAAAAAATGAGTTCTGACGATTTTACGCCCGGAAACTAAACGAATGGAAGCAAAAAACACCCTTTAAAAAGAGGAGAAAATGTTGCATCGAATAATGCCCGAGCTGCTCTTCCTTTGATGTTCTACGAGGATTTAGCTATCCAAGTATGAAAATCGCTAGCACCAGTTAAAATTCTGTCAAAAACGTATGACAAGCTATGGAAAGGAGAAAAAAGTTGTTTTGCATTCTGTAGGTTTTGCTCTATAAAGAGGCTACTTGTACTTTTTCGGAGGGTGTATATAAAAGTTTAGAAAAATTGCGAAAATTGACCATCTCAAAAAGCATAGGTTGCAGATTTTGGTTATTTTCTGAAAACTCCTTGATAGTGTTGCAAAAATTTTATACCGTTAGAAAGAGGATGAAATGCTGCATCGAATGCTTCCAAGAGCTCCTCGAAACCTTTGTTCCATCAGATGTGACGACAGTTTGATAAAAGCGAAATTACCTTTGAAATGACCTAATACCTGGAAATTTTTCGACCTTTGTCATAAAGTTCCAAGGCCGCTAAGTGCGGAAGTGGTCAAAATTAGTTTCTACGATGTGTAAAGGAGTATTAAGTGGGCGCCGTTGGGGACAGACAAAAGGCACGGATTGCAAGGAAAAAGCTCGAACTTATTTTATTCCTTTTGCAATTTAAAATTTATTCTCTAAACCTTGTTTGAGTGGATCAGGATACTGCAAAGTAATACCTATTCAGTGATTTTGCAGAAAGCAAGCCTTTTCGACCCAAGATTTGACGAACAAAAATCTCCTCTCACCGTTTTTGACGTTCCGCAAGCCCCATCGCCCTTGGGCCACTTTTATCGTAGTTTTCTTGGGGTGATGGGTGGGGGGGGGGGGGGGGGGACTGGTTGAGTCACATTTGGTTGGGCCACGGAATCCGTGTAGTTTCAACTAGTACTCAGATTTGGTAAGACACTACCTCTATAAACACTTTCCACATGTAAATTTAACTACTTGCGCTTTAATTCAGCGGACTCAGCGTCCTCAAAAGGTACGGAAGAGGACAAATACTCGAAATCGATTTTTTGGGTGGACGGTGCCTTTAACTGAACGATTTACTGCTTGGACTTGAAGCAAAAAAGACGAGCTTGTGGACAATACAAGACATAGCTTAGCGTTCTCGAGTTTTCTATTTTCGAATTAGCTGACCTACATGTACACAGCATCTTGATGAAAGTCGTTCAACATATAATATGTATAGCTTATAAATCAGGTCGGAAGCCACTACAGCAAAATTCATTGAGACTTTTCACGGCTTTAGTAAAGGAAACTTTATTCGAAGAAAATAATGTGGTCGAGATAAGGAAATGCGGCGTATGTTATAGTCATTGCTCAGAAATATTTATAGTATGACATTTGAAAACTGAAATGACTTAGTGACTATTTTCCCGGTATTTTTTGTTTTCCACAGAGTCTATAAAATTTGACAAGCGATGAGTTCTAAAGTCCAATTGATCAACTCCTCCTTTGGCCGACATTCTTAGAAGATTTCTGCGGCAATAATTTTTCCCGGGGTACAAAAGCGTAGCAGGCTTAAGGTTTGAGATGTTCCTATGGGGACTCTCCGTCTTGGTTTTCAAATATTTTGTTTGACTTACCAATGCTCCGACAGCAATGCCATCATTCCAGTCTGAGGTGAAGTTGGTAAGCGGCATGCCAGATGGTAATTTACTACGAATCCAATTTAACAACTTTTGCTTCGGCGTTTCTTCCGGTTGACCCTCATTCCTCTCCTAAATAAGGCTTGGTGTAACCAATCATGCATCATGTAGAAAATTCGTTTCGTCAGATATGACTACAACACGCACTGGAAGTAGCAAGCCGTGCTATGAATGAACTCAAAAGAAAAGTGTTTCAGTCGAACAGAGCTTTCGGAAGAAAACTGGATTATTTTACAGGGTATTGTAAGCTGACTCCAGATCCATGGTATTGCCATCGCTTCTGGATCCGAGATAAGCGTTTCTGGGTCCAAAAATTGAACCTACTGATCAAGAACGTTCAGAGCCAGCTCAGCAAGTGTTGGATATCCAGGAATTTTATGCAATAAATACTTTCTGCCTGATATATTAGTATAAGATTGCTCAACTTGAAAGCGCTGTGAAACCGTAACGATGATTTTTATCTATATTTTGCGCTCACTTTCGTTTCGAAGAAGCTCCTAACACGAAGTCCAGAGGCGCAGCAGATACCGAAACCTATTTAAGATCAATTTAGTGCTCTTCAAAATGGCTCAGAATATGGAAGGCCACTCCAACAGTATCCTTTTCAGCTGCTCAGTCGCTCAAATGTACAAGAAGGAAGGAAAGAATCTAGCTTTGTCTCTGATGCCACCATTATTACAGATTCAAGTTTGCAGTGCGTGATCTTACCGTTTTTTTTTTCGCTTACTGAAAGTTAAGAATTTAAGCCTTACCTGCACCCATCCCATAGATATCGAATAATGGAGAATCAGAGTCCAAATGAGACCAAGAATGAGCTTCTTATTTTGATCTACGATGTGTGAACTATCTGAAAGGGGAATAATGTTCACTATATAAATCAGCTAAAGAATAACGATTAGAGTTATCTTAAGACTCACCGATATTTACAATTTTGATGTGCTCTACATCTTGGAAGAACTTTAAAGCAAGCGATACATTCTCGAGTTTTTGCGAGCGAAAATTGACCTAGAATGTGACGATTTATTGCAAATCCAAAACATGCGGCGGCGAGAGCTACCTTTTTATTGTATCGGCCGACATTTTTCTGAGAAAGCACAGTGGCAAGGCTTATTAGCTTCAACCCGTCTGAGAAATCTGTCTCCTACAATGAATAACATCAAAATATGCACCGTCTCTATCTATGAGTTTCACAAGGGAAGTGTTAGAAATCGCAACGATCTTTTGATATGAGATATGTACCATCTGAAGCAGCTTAGAACAGTAATTTCAAGATAACTTCCTCAGCTGCAGAGCAAGTCTGGGTCGGGAGTTGTGGGCTAGACAATCACAGATTTTACATTGTTTAGAGGTGCTCTGTGACCATGAAAAACGTTCGAATGCATGTTAGACACTACAGCATAATATTATATTAGGTTGATTCATAATTAATGCACGTTTTTCTCACCTCTTCTTCCAGGAGTTGGTATTTGACGTGTAATCAAGTTCCTCAGAAATCTTTTATACTATCTAAAAGAGCGTTTTTTCCAGTTTCTTATGCGGCTTTTCGCTTTCGTAAATCTCCGTTCATTCCAAAGTTCTCAGCATTCAGATAAAAGAGACTAAAACCCAACATTTTTGCTTTTCATTCTTTTTGCCCTAAATCCATGAGGAATAGCCGAATTAATTCCAAAAAATATGCATAAGGGTTAGAAAACTTTGTGCTACAAGATGCTGTTTGAACAAAATTCTCCATGAATTCTGAGCCGAGAAATTCAATTGCGAACTTGAATGATCGTCGCGGCTCTTCCGTGCTATATAAAACTTTAAAGCAAAAGGCGATTGCAGGTCTTTTGCACTATCCAACAAGGGTAGGCCTAGTTCATTTGATAGTAGAAAAGCGCTAAGATTTTCTCACTTTCCATTGGAGAAAAATGAAATAATTTTAAAAATGACCGATTTTTGAACCTGCCGAGATGCCAGAAAAAAGTGACTACTTTCGACTTTTTCGCTATATTTTCTTTCAAAAATTTTCCGTTAAATCCAAACTTGGCCTTACTGCTCAAGAGACCCTTGGCTACACGAAGAGCGAAGTCTGCTTTATCCCACTTCATTTCAACATAAGTTATGCTCTCTCAAATTGGAGGCTTCTGAAAAAGGTTGTTGGCAATTTTCAGGCCAGAAAATCTTTCTTGTGATGATTACAGTCACGCAAAAGTATTTACAGTCGAGTAGATTTTCTGCTTAATATAGTGTTCCTGCAGACGCGACAACGCTGAGGCGTCAATAATTGCCTTGTGAGTTTCCGAACGAATGTTTTTCACTGTTCTCTTTGCTTATCCTTTGCTTTTCAGGTATTTCGTGGCTGATAAAGAGGAAAAGGGTAGGTCAGATAGTAGTTTCTGTTTTCTGAGAAGTTTCATCATCGCATATTCACAGATATCTACGTAGAAGCAGATCGCGTCAGTTTTACGCCTATTTTTTGGGTCATTTCCTTTTCTTTTGTCAATTCACCCTCTTTTTTCTTGTGAGACGTTTCTTTGAACGCTAGTTGGCTTGTCTTGTAACAACTTCGGCTTTCACCCATAAGAAATATCATTAAAGCGAGAACCTCATGTGATAAAGACAATAAGTCAATCGTAAAAACCTACTAGCCAAGAAAGTACTTCACAAGAAGAAAGAGACATGAAGTGACAAGATCGCATGAAAATGATGCGGTCAGCTTCGACATGGATATCTGAGATTAGGCGATGAATTAGCTACTCAGAAAAGAGACTTTATCCTTTAACTTATCCTCTTCTTCTTTATCAGTGACGATTTACCTAAAAAGAATGAGAATAAGATAAGAAAACACTAAAAAACATTCACTCGGAAACTCGCAAGGCAATTATTGACGCCCCAGCGTTGTCGCGTCTGCAGGGACACTATATTAAGCAGGAAATCTACTCGACTGTATTTTATAGCCACTGATTTTTTAGCTACAATAGTTTTTATTGCGCCTAGAAATGTATTTTCAAAAAAGAATTATCTCGGTTGAAAGTTGAAGTATAGAAAACTTGCATTAATTATGAATCAACCTAATATTAAAGAAGTGGAATTACAGTCGCTTCATTTCATATGATCATGTGTGTCATTGCACACACAGTTCACCTTTGGCGTCCTCATCCTGGATTCGTGGGAGAAACAAGCCTTCAGGTAAGTGTTTCCAAGATATTCTTAGCATTTTCTTTCCTGTTTAGTTACTAGTCACCTCAAATTGATGTAATCGATAACAACCGGTAAGTCTCTTGCGTTTTTGCGATTGCAAATCCAGGATGAGGACGCCAAAGTGGACTGTGTGTGCAATGGCACACATGATCATATGAAATGAAGCGACTGTACATCAAGCACTGGTAAACTATTTTATTTAAATTCGAGCCCAAAATACATGGACTTGGTAATTTTGGTTGAAATCTCCGTTGTAAATTTCCTGCGAATCGAATTCAATAACTCTCGACCCAGATTCGTTCTGTAGCTAGAAAAGACTGTTTTGGAATCAGCGTTCCAAGTTACGATACATATCTCATGTCAAAAGGCCACTGTGACTTCTGAACGCCCTCTTTTCAGTCGCAGACTCTACATCGAAAGACTGGACTTTACCGCAAAAATACAAAGTGTCCCAAAAAAAAATGTGAACACTGTTTGATCGTTAATAACCCCATTGTTTTTATGTCTTTCGCCGAGCTTTAGGCACCATTTCGTAGACCGAGGTTCAACTTAGATTTACAGTATGAAGCAAAACTCTGATCTCCCTTCGCTACTTTTGGATTACGGTAGGAACTTCCAGCGTGTGAATCCATTGTGAAATATGCCACTTGTAAAATTTTTTCCAAAAAATCTGAAAAATCGTGTATTAGAGTTTTCGCACACGCTGAATCCATTACACAACTTTTTACAAGAGTTTCTAGCTTTTTTGACGGGGTAATCACATTTTTGACAAATGCTGGAAATTCTGTTATTACGGTTTACCTGGGATAACTTCGGAAAGAAGCGTCACAGTACGGTGGAAATTTCATATTCGAAATCAGCGGATTCCATTACCATAGTATAAGAGCTTTTGGCTTGTTTGGTTTTGTTCCGAGGCAGAATATGGCCTCTAATGGCCTAAAATCCTTGTCAAAGTTCCTACCGTAATCCTACAGTAATGAAAAGCAATCGATGATTCGCTCCATACTATAAATCTAAGTTGAACCTCGCTCTACAGAATGGCGTCTCAAGCTCGGCGAAAGACATGAAAGCAAGGGAGTTATTAAAGATCAAACAGTGTTCACATTTTTTTGGGACACCCTGTATTTTATGATGGGAAAAACAATCGGACGATTTCCAAACTTTTCGCAAAAAAATATATGTCACTGAGAAAGATACAAGGAAATATACAAAAAAGTCAGACTTACAAGACTTTGAATGGAGTCGCCAGATTTTTTGAGATGATTATTAACCCAGCGCGTGAATGTGTTTTGCTGTATGATCTTCCATTCGGCGTCATCCAGCCGTATCGCAGGAATTACCTGAAAGTACACATCCGCCAAAACAAAACATTGAAAAATTGCAACGAATGTCTCTAGGCTAGTCTTTGTTACTCTTTGTTATTTAGCGGAAGTTATAGATAAGACTTCCGTTCTATTAATAGAATCTAAGTATTATTGCAGTGTATCTCAAGTTACTGTGATCATTTCACAGTATTATACTAAAAGCGGATTTGCACAAAAGGCAATCTTTGGTGCAAGGGACGGTGTTCAGCACTGGCGGTCCAAGAAACTGTATTTGGTGGGCGCAAAAAAGGTGTGGCTTTCTCCATGCATTCGGAAAAAAATAGACGGGTTCCATTTTTTCTAGCAGACCACCGGAAAAAAATTTCCAACAAGATTTTTTGAAATCGTAAATTATCGTAATCTTTACAAATGAACGAGTCATTGCATGATCTGATGACTCGAGTAGGTCAATTTCAAAAACTGCCTGCTTGGTACTGCTTACTACAAAACTTTCTCACGGTTCCGTCGCGATGTTTCCATTATGCTCCTTGTTACGCGCCAGCCGTAGAAGTCCACAGATTTTGATCGTTCAAATTTGTAAGATATATGTAAATTTATCTAATCACATCCATCATGAAAAGCCTCCAAAAGCAGGACACGTCATATCTACAAATGAGTGGGACAACGCTGAAATATTAGATTGTATAATAAATTCGTCCGCATTTTTTGTCTCAATTTTTTCCCAGCACTTCACAAAGCATTTGGCATAGTGTTTGTATGCATTCGGAAACTCTAAGTCTGCTCTACCAAACTGCTATCATCATATTCCCAGTTTTCAAAAAGTTAAGTAAAAAAGTCGACTACAAACCGAAAAATCTGAAAGAGCGAAAATCCCATTTTCGACATGTGACATGTACAACAGAGTTTGTGCTGTTTGGACGTCTCTATGAGGAGTTATGATTTTCGCGAAAAATGACAAATCAACTAATGGCGTTTTTCATAATAAACTCGATATTCATAACTTCTCACAGAGACGTCCAAACAGCACAGGCTTTTCACAGTTGCAAAGGGTAGGCCAAAAAACATATTTACTGACGATTTCAGATTTTTCTGCAGCATTCCAAATTTCTAGTGACCTAACTCAAAATTGTCAAAGCTTATATGGTCTCAATTTTCCATTTTATCTCCGCACCCAGTGTGAAACAGAAGCTTTGCAAACAGCGTTTGAAAGCGAAAGACAAATGAATGTTTTCTAATAAAATTACAAGCAAGCAAATCCGTTGAAATAGCGCAAAGTTATGCAAATTTTCGAAAATGGAACGACAGAACTTTTGGACCCACCCAATATAATAACAGAGACTTGGTAGAGCAGACTTGGAGCTTCCGAATGTACACTAACTTTTGTCAAATGCTTTGCATAATATGAAGATTAAAAAATGAACAAAAAACTTATTAAACAACCTAATATATAGGCTGTGCCAAAAATTGTATCGAACATTTGCTACCGATAACTTTCTCGTCCGAACAGCTTGCGACACCTTAGGTACTATACTACGTATCTGATTGTAGCTAGTTGCAACTTAGATTTACACTACCAACACGGAACAATCAACGCAAATCAAGTGGGATTACAGTATGAACTTGGGGAAAAGTCAACCATTGTGAGCGTAGCCTTTAGAATTGTCCGAAAGAGCTGGGAACTTTGTGACAAGGTAAACCAATACTGCTGCATACATGACCTTATCGCTTCGTAACCCCTAATTCATAAATCACTACAAGTATACCTTTAAACGATCTCTCCAACAGATATCAGGCAGCTGATTTGCACTGTCAACACTATGCTGAAAGTAACCTCCATTAGCAGCCCTAATATACACTTAGAATAGAGTTGAGTGATCCGCTCTGTATTGTTCTAACAATAAGTTGGAGTTAGCCCTACAATATGCTATTAAAGCAAATAGTCAACAAGAGACAACAAGAGAGCTATCAAAGTTAAATTCAGACATTTTTTGAGATCCCCTGTATAGCTTACACATTTTATCCGTTGTCAAAAATGCTGCTACAAGTTTGAATGAATGCCCATATATTATTTTTACAATGTGAAAGAAAGCAAAGGTGTGGTCAGACATTATTGAAAGAACTTTTATATGAATTATCGATACTGCGTACACTCCCATAGATCCTAAACATGATTACTGACGCACTCGCACTTTCGGTTCTTTTTTTTTTGAGTATCAATTCAATGCACCGGCACAATTTTCCGCAAAAAAAAGATGAAGACGGCGCAAAAACGAGTTTTCGAAGTAACTACTGAAGTGGACGTCGTCGACTGACAGTTGTATCAGTTGGAGGAAGACGGGTGTGTATGGTATGCGTAGCAATATTTCACACTCCATGCAAATACTATTTCCTCTGCGATCGTATATTTAGCAAACTACCACACCTTACATATTTTTTGAGCACAGCGGTGAACAGCACTGCTTCTACATAACACAGCACAGTCGAATACTATTATGCAGTCAACAAAATGATAGAGATCTCTGGCCAGCTAGGTGGTCGCCTAGTTAGTTTGAAAGAGTGAGCAGCACGTAAAGAAAGCTCTAAGAATAAGTTGAGCAAACACTAGCAAAAAACAAAGTGATGGAAACTGATCAAATGAAGATGAAACTCACCTCTTGTTCTTGGTCATGCTCTCGGGGTTTCCCGTGAGGATGAGGATCGTACATTGACCAGCTCTTGTCGATCTAGTGCTATGAATTGCTATTCCACCTGAAAAGTGTACAGCTGGCACATGTGAAATGAATTTCGCTGACGCGATTGAGATTCGTGACATTTTGCGAACACATTCAAATGTTATGCGCTGAGCAGAAGCAAGCAAGACGTCAACTACTTCGCAAATGCTCATATGACGAAGTTCAAGTAAAACATGTCGAGTCATTTCCAAAGGAATGATGACCACATTGAATTACATGATAAAAGTACGTCCGTCACAGCAAATGTTCAAGAGAGAAGCTTCCGAACAGCTGACACATTTGAAACGCAAATGGTGAAGCCGAGAGTGAGCACAAGTTCGGACTAGCTCCCAAGAACTGAAATCCGATGCTCAAATAGATGAAGGGAATTCAGAAGTCCATTTATAGTTTCGCAAAAGAAATGAACAATGAACGATCAGGTGCAGGAGGCTTTCAAAAAAGCTTTTTGTCTTTCGTGTAAAATGGTAATTCCAAAGTAACTCAGTACCTTACGAAGGAAGCAAATGTACTAAGCAGGATACCTAGCGCTTGAGGCTGTGTTAGTAACAAAACGCCACAGTCTACCTCAGCTGCAGTGTCCCTCTCGCTTGCGGAGCATCCGTGGCGCAGTGAGCGCTCGCCTCCGATTGCCAAGACCCCGGGCATACTTCAGCTCAAGTCACCACGGGATGTGGCCATTCACTGGACGTATTCATAGCTATTTTATAACTTTCCTAGATTAATGAAAAACATATCCTCCATGCATTCAGTATGCACTAACGATGAGTTATAAGCAACTGGAGTTCCGCCAAATCAAATCGCGACTGCAGTTGTGCATTACCCGTTTCGGTCGCTCGCGCTTTGGCAGAACTCCAACTATTACAAGTGAGCGCATAGTGAATGCACAAGAGAGGGTATTTCATCAATCCATAAAGGTGGTACTCATTATTTTATAAACTCTGTCCCAATTGGGATCCGGCCGAAACCTTAGCTCAAATTTGCGCGCTCGCAGCCTGAGGGTTTGTGCTGCATATGTGCGCTGTGATAGTGAAGAGATCGAGGAGAGAGCAGACAAACAAGCAGTAGACGTGACGCAGAGCCGTGGCGATGCGGAAGCACATCACTCCGATTTAGCCTCTGCGCATTGCGACAGGCTCAGCATGTGTGTTAGTAGAGCTGAAGACACTTAGCAAATTGCAAATCATGAAGCGATAGAAATAAAAGACTGAAACAAGTATGCCGCTTAAACCGTTTTGGCTGCTCGAGTCAACTGTTCACCCGCAGGACGGAGGGGCCGTTCAACCGGGACACGCGACTGAGACCACCATAGCTATATCTACTTCATCCCATCGAAGTTGCTGAGCACTGACAAAAGGCGGAAAAAATTGTACGCGCCTTCGAAAACTTTCCCTTAAAAACACACCATTCCAGAGCGGTTACTCAAATGTGTCACTAAAGTAAAAAAAAATACCATCTCTACCTCGTTAGATCAAGGTGGCCGAAGGGCAATTTGGCGGTTTAAGATTTGGTTATAGTATACGTCATTCTAACAATTCTGTACTTCAGTTCAGCCCTGGAAACGTAATATTCACTTAGGATCAGCAAACAACGACCAAATTTACCAACGAATGCAATAGCGAGAGTGTCAACTAGTGACGCCACTGCGGGTGTGGTCAAGTTAACATCTCAAGAGGTACTAAGTGTGCTAGTTATTATCGGCACAGAAACTTTGGAACTTTTCAACTAGCAAACAAAGAAGAAACTACTAGTTCACAAAACGACTCCACACTGATTTAGCAGAAAAATCGTCTAGAGCATAGATGGAGCAGAGCCTCCTCATCCAGTTTTTTAAGAAGCTAAATGTCTGGGCCTTTTTTGTCTGCCTGCGTGTACCTGTGTGACTTATATTCCAGATAGAAAATACCGTTCAATCCATCCGGACCAGCTTTAACAAGTATCTGGGGCGGGGCGGATGCCATGGGCTAATTTCCGTCATCATTATTGATTACTAACTCGCAAACCCGGCTCCACCCGGCCCTGTTGATAATATTCATGAACAGCGTATTCACTTACCCTCTGTGATAATCCCGAGCCCCGCAGCTAAACATTGAAAAATCGATGAGATCGATAGGCGGTAGCCACGCCCAAAAAAATTTTTCTACAAGGCTAGTTTGAATTTTCGAAAAATTTTGAAAATTATTTAAATTATTTACAATAGTAAACAAGCCACTCGCACAATTCAATCCATTTGAGTAAATTTTAAAAATTTCGCGGCCAAGCCCCCCCCCCCCCCCTCTTCGGTCCGCCACCACACAGACATACAGAATACATGCAAAGAGACATTCAGCTTTATTTATGCAGATTCTGCGATTTGGGATAAGGCTGAAAGTTGACACAGAGTTGTAATTGAGCTGATTACGAATATAACATCAATACAATATTTATGTCAAAAGTCAAATTGATATTGGTTTTGTGGATTTCTTGTTTAGTCTAATTATCTGGGAGCTGGACTTCACGATTTTATCAGTTTCCTTTTTATTCCCAACCGCTTTTTTCACAAAAAGACGCTAGCTGATACAAACGATAGCGATAGCACTAGTGTTTCTGTTTTTCAAATGTAAGGCGTTCAAGCTTGCGCGTTGGCCGTAATCGACGCGGCGTCACGATCTGACAAAGCCCTTAACACATTCACGACGATACGACCCACCGGTGGATCGTTTGTGTTCTGCTTTTGGACAATAAGAGCCACAGGTGGGTCGTAAGATTCCTGAAACTATAGTTTTGCCAGTTTACAATGGAATTTTACGGGATTATGGCTGATTGGAGAAACCTAGGAGAAGCTTCAGCCAGTTGGTCCAGGCTCGGGATACTGTGATGTAATGTTATGGTAGTATACCGTCAATAGAGATACTTAGGCTTGGGCTCAAATTCTTTGCAGCATGATGCTGTTTCTGAACATTCAGGTGTACATGCACGAGAAATGCGGGGCAGGCAAGAGACTGCTGTTCCCTAAATGATATCGATTTTATTGATGTTGTTGATTTTTGGAAAAGAGACTACCATTTCAGCCAGCTGCAATGAAATAATTTGAAAGTGTAGTTCGTGACATCAAATGGGTCAAGGCGCTGCCTGCCAAGGCACTTTATGCAATAAATACTTTCAACCTAACAGACTTATGCCAGTTATTACTCCTTTCAGATTACGGAAAGAATTCAGTACCTGTTTCTACCTTAGCCAAGTCTTTGAATTTTGCCTCGAAAATCCCTATAACTCTCCTTCCAAAAGCGCTTTGCAGAAAACGAAAGCAGATTTGCAATCAGCGTTCCATAGCGCTCTCTGGGACAGCACTTCGTATGAAAACTCCACTTCGACCATGTATCCGCTCATATTCCATCGCGTTGGCTCGGGAAATTGCGGCGTCCAATGGCTATGCTGTGCGTGAGCGCGTCTTTGGGGCCCGCGTGTCGCGTCGGCGTCGGGCTCGGGATCCGAGCAGTACCGCTGAGACTTCTGCCTGCGTTCATCTCTGATGAGTTGAGCAGCGCAGTGAGGCGCTGCGTACAACGCGCGGGTTTGCAAGGCGTGAAAAGAGTGGTCGATATCCCTCCAGCTAATCTCAAACGGCAACTTGTTCGAAACCGCGCTTATGATCGTACTTGCCCTACTCCTAATTGTGTGGTCTGCCCGTTTGGTAAAGAAGGTGACTGTATGCAGTCCGGGGTCATTTATCTTATAACATGCCTTTCATGCGGAGACACATACATTGGCAAAACAGGGCGCCCACTTTGTCGTCGCGTAAAAGAGCATGTAGATGGAATGGAAAAGTTAAGAGCAGCCACACGTTAGGAAAACACCGTATAGAGCGTCACTACAACTCTAAGGTACAAGTTGCAATAAGAATCTTGTCGTATGAACCCGAGATCCTCGCTCGCAAAACGTTGGAGGCGTTTTGGATTAATGCCAAAAATCCAAAATTGAACAGAAAGGAAGAATGTATCGCCATCACGCAGGAACTCGCGCCTTATCAGTCCCTATGCGGATTTGAATATGAGGTCAGGTCATCACGGAACATATAAAAGAGCTGAGGCGTTTGTATATAAGTGGTCTTCTGACTTCCGCTTTGTGTTATTTGAAGTGAGTATGGTCCTTGTATTTCTGACGATGACGCGTTAGCTTTCTCTCGAAGAGTATTCTGAATCTTTTCCTGTCGTCTGAAGGAATGGGTTGCTTATAACTTCGACTTCCAGGCTCTGAAGAAGACGAAAGCGCCGAAACGTTAGCCGTCAATAAAGAAACTGTAACAATCTTGGAGTACCGCTCACAAGCACTATCCACGACCATGTATCCTTCCTTTGTGAGATGTGCTCTAGCAGCGTTACGATCGGATCATGTCGAGTGGCTTACACACCCTCTGCTGGATGGCAGTCCGAAAAGGACAAGGAAGGAGGGGGAATGGGGAGGCCCGAGTGGATTACGAAAGCTTCAAAAATAGCCTGAATGATAAAAATGTGCAAATGACTTGTTCGAACTTATAAGCATTCGAATGACTTTCAAGGGTAGCGAAAATTCCGAAAAGCTTCCCAAGAAAATTTTTTCAATCGTTGAATGGACGGTTCATAGTTCTAATTTGCGTGAAAGATTCAAGTTTTCAAAGCAAATAAAAGAGATTCTAGCACAAGTTGAGTACTAAATGCACTGAATCTGCATATGATGAACTTAAGTTGTGGAAACTCGTAGATCAAGCCTCAAGCTACCATTTACATCGAATCGATTTTACTATCGAGCAAAAACCGTATTTCCCATGCTAGACTGTGTGACACAAAGGGCGTAGGAAGGCTGATTGTGCCAAGGCAAGTCTCAAGTGAGAAATTCTAATTTTTCGTCAGTCATGTCAATTCTTCATAAAATGGTAAGATATATGCTGGCAGCTACGTTGTTTATATGTAAATTTGAAAAGAGATATCGTCAATTTGTTGGCCGCACGAACGGCTCAAACGTTGCGGACCACGCGCGGCGTAATTGTTGCCAAAGCACGATTT